ACCCATATTGTCTTAAGTGGTCACAGTTACTGTATTTTGACTGTAGATGTTTCAGACACTTTATTATACAATCATTTGGGATTAGGGAGAGTTATAAGGATTAGTGATTCATTGCCACCATTACATTTCTTGTTAGTGTGGGTACTGTTTGTTACCTTTTATTTTGGATGACACAACTCTTGCCTATAAATGTGGGTCTATATTCAGTCACTGTAGGAGAGGCTACATAGAGTGAGATAGGAATTGTTTCACAGATGTTGCATTTAATGGGGATTAGAGTATCTTGGATTTATTTACACTTGAAACATCAGAAATAGGCACTGGGTTACCCTGAGATTACAGAATGTCAAGCAGAGAGAGACTTACAGTACCTGAGAAACACAGTATAGTTTGGATCCAAACTCAAAGTTTTTGATTTGATTTGATTTATTCTTTCAAGCATGTAAAACAGTTGATATGACACCACACATAATTTTACACATAATCCAATATCAATTTGCTTATACCTAGTACATGCTTGAATGGAGTAGGAAGAAGTCAGACTTATCCAGTCCTACCCCATGACATCATCTTACCATCATTGGTTTGCAAGCAGTAAATGATTCACTTCTACCCACACAAGTTTGGATCCAAAACTGCAAAAATGAGGGAAGTAGAACCAGCACCTACATCATACTAGATCATATAGCTGAGAGGATCAGATTGATTTGACGTGGAGTTCAGTCAGAAGATCAAGTTACTGCTGTATTAGGAAAATTATGCCTTGTTGCCCCAGTTAATGCAGATTTTTCTTACATGTTTGTTTTTGTTTTGTTGTTCAACATGAGCGAAAAATTATGGAAATGCTGCTAAACCCTGATCTGACGCTATGGATGCATTCACAGTTTCTTGGTTACAAATAATCTGAAGTCTGGGTTTCTGTGGAAGGGTTACTGCTCATAGCTTCACTTTTTCTGTTGATTTCACAAGCAGGCACTCCAAGCAACTATTTGGACAACTAACATGTTGTAATGATAGGCAGGTTTTCAAAGAATGAGTTGGGAGACTGGAACGGTCTTTTTATGCACCACATAACCCTGGATAGCAGTCTTTATTATTGAACACATAGCTATGTACAACATGCTGTGGCCCATTAATGCCACCAGAACCCTTTGTCATGGTGCTCTGGCCCAGCAAACCTGGGTTGGCCCCCCCAACACCCACACTCTGGCCCACAAACTCTAGGGCGGAACATGGGAACATAACAGTAACTCTGGCCGACAACAGTTTCTGTCCATTAGGGGCAAGCCAAGAGCTTTTCTGACAGGGCATGGTAGATTTGAGGGTCAAGTGTATTGTTAAGTCAAAAGTAACACTCCTTTTGGAATAGAATAATTCAAATCTTAACTTGTGTTATCTGCAATCCATTGACAATAAACTTAAACAAATCCATTTAGAAATTATAAGAAAAAAAGACAAAAGCCTTCTTGAATGTTGCTGTGTTTATTATTACTTACTTTTTTGTTGTTAGAGTCAAGTCAGATTGCTTTTTTTTTTTTAGTTATGATAGTGTCTACAGAGTCAGGTTTTTATTTTTCCACCCTGTGATGTAAAAGAGATTGGTGAGAGCTGCAGAAAGTAAAGCTCACACATTTATTGTAAGATAACAGTCATGCACTGAGGGACTGAACATCTGTGTGTGTGTTTGGGAGAGCGTGACAGTCATCAATAATCATAAAGCACATGAAGAGTAGTTATACAGATAAACTATCATCATAGATTAATAGATTAACAAGACACGGTGTAACAAAAAATGCACTTCAGATCGGTACAACAGTCCAACATCAGAGTCAGCAAACACATACATCAAGGGAATCCAAAACGCGTTGTCGTCCGTTAAGCCGATACACATAGAAACAGTCCGAGTTTGAAGGAGCAGGCGATATGCGGTGGTCCAAACCAGAAATCTAGGGTCCGATACTGAGACGTCAGGCAGGAAGAAATGCTGGAAAGTCAGAGCTAGTGTCTAGAACAATCTGGCGGGGACTGGTGGGTAAAGGCTGCATATAATGCGGTGCAAACTATCGGGAGCAGGTGAATCTAATGTGAGTGATTAGTGAAAGTAAAAAGACCGAAACAGAGGTGAAACTTAGACTACGTTCACACTGCAGGTCTTAATGCTCGCCGAAATCCGATTTTTTTGCGCTGTTGTTCACACTGTTTTTTAAATGCGACTGCCATCTGTCTCATGTGTGAACGGTATACAGTCTTGAGGTGACCCAGTAGAGGACGTGACGTCAGACGCAGCGTACTCATTCATTCATTTTCTACCGCTTAGTCCCTGAACGGGGTCAAGGGGGGGCTGGAGCCAATCCCAGCTGGCAATCGGGCGAAGGTGGGGTACACCCTGGACAGGTCGCCAATCCATCGCAGGGCTAACACAGAGACGAACAACCACACACACGCACATGCACTCCTATGGGCAATTTAGAGACACCAATCAACCTAAGCTGCATGTCTGTGGGAGGAAGCCGGAGTACCCGGAGAGAGTCCACGCAAGCACGGGGAAAACATGCAAACTCCACAAAGAAGGGTCCCAGGTGGGGCCCAAACCCAGAACCTTCTCGCTGTGAGGCAATGGCGCTAACCACTGCGCCACCGTGCTGCCCGCGTAGCGTACTGTGTTTGCGAAAATAAAAATGGATGCGGCTCGTGATAGCATGTGTGTAGCGATGTACCAGTTAATGTGCAATCGAAATAAAGTAATAATAATAAGAAGAACATCAAGAAGGAGGAGAGCACAAATATTGCTTATGGCCTCGCCTCCTCCAGCTCAGAATTGTGACATCTGTCGCATTTCAATGACATAAAAATCGCATGAAATGCAACATGGCCGTTCAGACTGAAGTCACATTGCAAAACATCGGATATGTATCCAAATTATGACCACATATGAAAGTGGCCTGGGCCGGATTTGAAAAAATCGGATTTGTGCTGTTCACACTGTCATAAGGAAATCGGATATGGGTCACATTTGAGCAAAAAGATTGGATTTGAGTCACTTCAGCCTGCAGTCTGAACGTGGCCAAAAACATGAAGTAAGGTCAAAATAATAGCCGGACAGGAAGCAGCGGAACTGAATCATGACAACTCGGGTTATAACCTGAGACCTAAACCTGTCCTGAATAAAACGATCCCATCTGGGCTTTTCAGAACAAAATTGTAAGGAATGTTATATTTTTTGTTGTAAACAAATCTTGATTTTGTATTATCTGACTACAACTAAATCATAGTTAAAATATAAAGTAAGATAAAATATTTAACTTGCCCCTTTTTAGACCATTTGGTGAACCTGTTGTCTTACTTGTCAGCTCTGTAACATCTAACTTGGCCCTATCTTTTTACTTGTCAGAGCCAAACTTCTTGTTCACACTACACATGAGCACTTTCTAAATTCTTATCCCACAGTTGGTTCCGTTCGGTACTAAAAGTGTCCTTGCCAACGCTGAAAAGCCGGTCATATGCAGCATGGGAAAATAAAAAATAAGTCATTTTTTTATAGCCCAACATTGTTTGTAGTTTCTTTCTTTTATTTTGTATTCATTTATTCGTCAGGGACAAATACACCTTAACTAACATCAAAAGATGCAAATGTGCCAGAGTTAGCCAAAAGGCAAATTTTCATCTGTAAGTCCCTAACACTAAACAACAATCAAACAAAAAATAAATTAAAATTGCTGGAAGGCAAAAAAATAAATAAATACACAAGTTAAAATACATAAGAAAATACATCTTTTGATGTAAGAATATAAAACCATCTGTATGTTCACAAAAAAGTATGTGCCCATAGATCGGCGCAGGTATGTGTTACCAAACATAACGCATACACATCTACAAGCACATTAAAAATAAGGAGAATTTATTAAAGAGCATTTATCAAAAATGCCATATGTAGATCGCTTTTAGTTTCAGTAGTTAACTACACAAAAAAGGCAAAAAGTAATATAACTACTTGAATCAGTGTGCTAATATGAACCAGGAAGCTACTACTAGTTTAATTATGTTCCAACACTCCCCATGGAGCGGCTTTACTGGAATTCTGCTGTGCCATTCTGTGGAAGCTGCCTGACTCACTCCAGTGTGTGATTAAGCTATGTACACATTTGTTTGCATTTCTTTCAAGATCCATGGCTAGACTTGTTGCAGTGTTTTAGGAGTATCTGTGGTGAAGGCTACTTCTGACAGGTCTAAATCTCGTTCTGCTGTTGCTGTATTGGTCTCTCACATCTTGAGGCCTTTTGTCAGTGTCAGCCCACCTTACGGTATTGCACAGCACAGAGCTTTAATCCTCTCTCTGCTCTCCCAGCCAAACCTCCCTCCCTCTTTCCCCCAAACACTGTATCACACACAGCCAGCAACTGTGGTCTTCTGCTCTTGTTTTGTCTGTGGTGTCTGTCAGGCGTGCCTGTGTTTTCTGTGCCTCCTGTGCTTCTTGCTTCCGGGAGCTGCATTATGTCCAGCTGTTGTAACTCCCTTAGTCATGGCCCAGTGCTAAAAGGATGTTGATGACTATAGGGATACATTTAGGGTTGGAACTCATAACTAATTGAATAATTTAATCTATAAATAGAGTAAATGGAGAAGAATGCTCAAGACAATTTCCCAGTCTTCATATAGTTTTTTTTAAAAATCTAACCAGCATTCCCAGAAATATTCACTTTACAGAGGCATAAAACCGGAAAGCAGAAAACACATTTAAGCACTGAAAACCAGCCATTGTGTGGCATGTTTGCTTAATAAAAGACTTGAACAATGAGAGATCAAAATTTTTTTATGTCATTTAATTAATTCTTACATGTAATTTTAATATTAACTACGATAGCCTGTATGCTGTAAAATGAAAATAATTTAATAAAGCATCTGTAACCATACTGCATCCGTCTCAGAAACAAGTAGAAAACAAAGGCACATTCATTGTGCAGATTATCCCCAGTATCATGTATCTTTTGTTTTTATTACAGGGAAAAGCCCAGACTCATAACATCTGAGTCACTGAGGAGACAGTCATCTGAAATGAAAGACAGAAAAGGTAAGAGGTTTTGTACAGAGGTTTGTGTGCATGTTAGGACACTGTACTAATATAAGCTTTTCATTTTTAATAACTGTATTGCAAGAAGTCCAAAGTTAGTTCCAATTAAAACTTTATAAAGTGACATGATATTTTTACAGTATATTTGGATTATTTGTTATGTCTGACCACCAGCCCAAACCTCAAAGATTTCAGTTTACAGTTTTATTAAATTGAGAAAAGCAGCACATTCACATATCTAAGAAGCTGGCTCCATCAGTTAATCAGTTATCAGAACTGTTTGCAAGAAAATTTCTTTGTTAAATAATGATTTAATTAAGTAATGAACACAACTTAAGCACATTTTAGCACTACGATGAACACATGCACAGAACATGTTGCATCTCTGTATTGTCAGCACAATAGATGGTAGAAGGAAAAAACATCACCTTTGCAAAGAAAAGTTCTCGTCCACATTCTTTAGCGGTTTTGTCATTTCGTAAACAATAGTTCAGGAAACTAACGCAGCCCCACCTCATATCCGGCTCATTGTGAAAACTTACCCACTGTAACAACTTCAAGAAATGACACCTAGGTCGAGGAAGCTGTGTCATATTCTTCGTTGTGAAATGACAGCTGCATTTTTAACAACCACCTGCTTGTGTCTTGTATTTGGGTCCAAAGCCTTCTCATTCAAGGACCAAGTTTTCATCATTGCAGCATGATTCTCTTAAACGGATCACCCTTCATTTGGTGCCCATCCCCTTCCTCTTATTCTTCTTTGTGTTTCAAATTTTTCCTGTTTGCTCTTATTTTTACATATTTGGTTGTTTATTTAACAAACCCTTTATTCCTCAGTGCATATTTGTATATACTGTGTTTGTGAGATAATTACTATGACTTATTTTATTGTTCTTTCAAATCGTTTCCTCAGAAGGGGATGATTCTGTTCAGAAAGCAGTTGAACGGGGTGCAAATAATTTGGTCTTCCTCCTTTCTGTACCTGTCACCAGGATAACCTCATGGACTATGCAGACATGAGATGACCAATGAACATGTGAAGATGTCCCAGAAGCCAAATAAAAGTAAGCTCTTTTGGGGTAGCTGAGGACATATGGTCTTGAAAGTTTTTTGTTTCATCAGATGTTATTTCTTTGTTCTGGGCACACAGCACTTGAAAGGGACTTTTCTTTCTTTTTGATATTCATGAATACAATAACTACACTACATGCAGTGATTTGAGGATTATGGATGAAAATGCGCAGTCGTAGCTTATGATCATATCATTAACATAAATATTGCTGTTTATGTTAATGTTTTATTTTAGAAGATTAGAACTTCTATTTCTGCAAGAGATCTTTATTTAAATTAGTAAATTGTTTTGGATATTTTAGAGCCATATATATCCATAAATCCTTGCAATCTTCGGTGTTGAAGCTTTGAAGCCTGTTTTTTTTTTTCTTTTTAATTTTTTTATGCTTTTTGTGTGTGTGTATGTTTGTTGACTGCAGAATGGTACCTCAGGTGTCTCCCAGTCCTCGTCCTCCTCCTCCTCTCCTCTGTCATATACTATTTGTTCTATGACAGACTTCTGAGGTAATTACGCATATGATGACACAACAGTTTCTTTCTTGTTTCTGTCTCCCCTGCCCTGGTATTTTGGTCACATAATTACAGAAATGCCTGTTTCTGGTAAAAAGTATGCTCAATGCAGTGCTGAGTCACTAAAAGCTGAGAAGACGTCTTGTATTCAGATTGTCCAGTGGTCTGAGCTGCTACAGCAGGGGTATCAAACTCAAATACACAGTGGGCCAAAATTAAGAAGTGGGACAAAGTTGCGGGCCAGATTCTATATTTATTGAAATATTGAATAAAATTGAGCATGTTTTCCCTTGTCTCCAGATATATAATGATAAATTTGTTCATATGGAAACAAACTTAAGTTGAATTTGGAACAAGCAAAGCTGAGTATTATAAATTAGGGCTGTCAATCAAAGAATTTAATCAAGTTAATCACAGTGATGGACTGTGATTAATCACGATTAATCACAAATTTAAATACTATGATTTATCTGTAAATGTGTTGCAATAAAGAAATGCATGTCAAACTAGTTTAAGGTAATTTTAGATTTAACCGGTTCTTTTATCTGAAGGCCCCAAGAAGTAACACTCAGGAAACAGGAATCAGCTTTTCGTAGATTAATTTTTTTCTGGTTAAATGCAGAGTTATTACAGCGCTGGGCTCT